ATCCAATGAAAACCCACATGTGAATTCTCCATCTCCCGTACTGGAGAAAGGACGCTTCAATAGCAAGAACTAGCAATATTAAGTCACGTGTAAGAGCAGTTATCTTAAGTCTTGTGACTGTCAGGTATACTGGAACTGCCATTTCCAAAATTTCTAGCCAGTGTAAGGAATAATGGTTTGAAATATTGGAAACCTAGAGTCTGTTGGATTGTGAAAAAATAGAGCAACTTTGTTCTTAAAGAAGAAACTGATCTGACAAGAATGAAAGAAGCCAAACCACAGATGCAAAATAAAGCCAAGAAAATGTTTATATACAACAAAAGCCTTTTTCTCTTTCTTTCTTTCTTTCTTTCCTCTCTATCTCTCTCTCTCTCTCTTTCTTTTTCCAATTAATGTATTTGCTTGGGCACATAATTTTAAATAATTTTTATAATTTTTGATAATTCAGATGGGCTTCAGCAGATTCATCTAAATTTGAAAGTTAGGAAGAGTTCAGTCTAACTTTGGTTGGTACTTCCAAGGAATACCAGGGCAGTAGGCTAGATAGGGAAGTTGAAAAAAATAGTTTGCAGAAAGGCAGTGGCAAATCACTTCTATATTCCTGACAAAAGCTCCACAAAGTAAGCTTTGAAATCACCAGGAATCAAGTTCAACTTGCATTACTTGCAATACCAAGACATTATTTCATTTGCCCAAATTCAGAAAGCTCCTCTGAATATACTGAAAAGAATACATGACTACTCTTTTGGAAGTGCAGTTGGGTGCAAGTCAGAAGAGGAAAAAGGCAAAAGAAATGAAAAGATGCATTTATGCAACGGGCAGTGGAGGAAACAGGACATAGAATACACATTCAAACTACAGTATATACTCTTTGCTGTATTTATTGCGCCCGTCCACTTACTTTCCCCCTCACAGGCTTCAGTATCATCCTATTTTAAAATGAAAACCTAAATTACTGATTTGGGGAAATATCATCTCTTTGCCCAGAAGGAATACAAGGGTATGCAGGATGCACAAATAAATGGCTGATGTGGGCACAGAGGGGCTGGAGGGTGGGGGAATTTTACAACTTGTGACTTTCCCTTCCCATTGACTTTCTGGTGAAGCTGACAGGAAAGGTTGCAAAGGACAATCATGTGATTGCGACTATATATTAAAGCAAGTTTTAAGAGTCTTCATAAGGAACAATAAGCTCTGAATGAGACATATACTTAAATTATCAGCAGTAAAGTTTCTACAGATTTAAACTGCTCTTAGGAGCTTTTAAGTTTTTCTAATACAGCATTTTTCTAAAACAAAATTACATAACTTCTCCTCACACACTATTATAATCATTTTAGTAGAGAATATTATTTTATTTATCAGTTCTTTGACAACACTGCTGATCTAGGCCTTAGTAGTTTTATTACATGGGACAGGAAATGGAACACAACCTACCAGGAGACGGTACTTAAGTGTTTTTCTAATTAGAGCTTTTCTAAGTCATAGGCAGGTTTTTGCCTCATCANCGCCTACATCGTCCATATAGGACGACTCGGGAACTCAACTCCTACCCCGGGCAGCTCACCTATCCCCTTATGCCCAGGGGAAAGGTATCAAGCCGTTTGACAGCTGATGCTGGCTGTCAAACCGGCTTTTACGCAAAACAGGCGGGAGGCAGCAAACAGCTGCGACCGACGAAATCGCCTGCCACCGGAAGTCCTTTTTATATGTTGTTCTATACATTTTTCGATAATTTCTAAAAGTATTTTTGGCATTGGGTGGGCACTTGTACATCAATGTATCTCATCACATAATCTAATAGATGGTTATGACAACCATAATAAAATATTTTCATTGCCAATTCAAAGTAAAGTTCACATTTCCAGTAATTAATTAAAGATTTTACAGCTCAACATAGTAAGAAAACCTGCCGAACTAGTTTGCTTTCAAGCTATAGTGGCCCTAAAGAGTGTGCTGTGGATAACATTTATTCTATCAATAAAAAGCAAACTTCCAAAAAAAGTATTATCTGCACTGATAATAAATACCAGGAAGTATGAAAACTCTGTGTTACAAAACATTTGGGAGGAAGGAACCAAAAGTATGGGAATATAGTATTTTCACTTGTAACTGAAAAATTAAATACTATTTAAAATTTTAATGTTTATGTTTCTTATTCTAGATATAGTAATATTAAGAATTATTAAAAAGAATAATATCAGATGCTGTTTTATGCTTTCTCACATTATTTTTAAAACTTTTTTCACTGGAGCTCTTGCACTGAAGCAATACCTCAGACTTTTTCGCTGTCTTTGACATTTTATATTATGTGGTTGAAATGATTACATAGTGTTTTGCTATCCTTAATTGATTTTGCAAGATGCATCATGATGAAGAGGTAAATATATTTTTGTTTTTAAACATATTTTAATAATAGAGTATCCGTTAATTATAATTATTATGACTCCGGGTATCTTTACCAAAACAAAGTCTAACAAGGTGAAGAATGAAGTATGAAGTTTTATTCCTATCTGGTACAAAATTTCAAGAATGTAAGTAAATATCTTGTTCTATTTATACATACAAACTCTTAAGGTTGTGTCTCCACAGTTAGGGTGTTCAGCATTCAGCTGTTTCTAGTTATTTGTTTGTACTGACTCGAGATACCATAATTATGACATCTTTTTTCTTAATGATTACAATACATATTATTAGTATCTCAGTTTTCTGACTTTCTGTGATAATTTTCTTGCACGAAATAAAGTAACACAGCTGTGGCTTTGTAAACAGCAGCCAATCATAAGTCACTGTATTTCCTGGGAACACAAATTAATGAGCATCCAGAGCTATTTAAAACCTTTATTGAACACAATGTAAGAGGCAGCACTTGGCACTTCCTACATCCTGGCCAAGAACTGGAGGATATGCACAAGTTTTAAATACTTGCATTCTATTAGGAGAAAAACTGAGAGAGTACAATCAGCTATTGAAATGGGAATGTCCTGAGTTATGCAGAAAAGAAATGTTTTCAGTGGGATATAAAAAAGGGGGACAGCTGACCCTTGAATTGATTTAAGCAGCCACAAATGCAGTCCACATGCAAATTAAAACTTCCAGACATATACGTAAAACTGATGTATGTGTTATTATTTCAGACAGTCTGAGAGTAGTCACGTCACACAACTGCAGTTATAATCAAATATTATACAAACAGCAGAGTAGAGGAAAACAAGATTCCACTTTTCCTTCTGAATAGAAAACCTCATCTATAGAAGAATAAAGATTTTGCCATTACTGCTAATGCTAATGTTACTCAATATGAGTAACAAGAGCTCTGTGTAGACATCTGCAAAGCACATAAACTGTTAGGTCTGAAATGGATGGGCAGCACAATAGCAGAAGCTTCTTGCCCAGATGTCAGCCAAACCACCACTGGAAAGTGATTTCTTAAGTTATCTTTTCCAGGCCCCCAACTCAAGCAAGGATCCCTTCTCCTCATTGGTCATACTACTATTGTCATCTCTTACTCAACTCTGAATAAGGCAAAGATTTTTAACTAGAGTCTTGCTTTAGGTGCTCATTTATCCATCTGTGGGAGGCAAAGACATCAGCCAAAACCCCTTTTGTAGATATAAAACAAACGAAGTATATATTATCCCAACATATGAAATCAGTTAAAGAACTAATAACTATATTCAAGGCTGTCAAATTGTTCTGATGTCCAGGCAGCAGTGGATGGTGATCTCTCTCAAGTAATGCACTATTGACAGACTGTATCAACATTGGGACTAACAGATCTGAATTTCTATGTCTCTTTATTTATTTGTAAAATTTATTCTCTACCCATCTTAACTATTGTAACTCTGGGCGGCTGATAATCTAAAAAGATAAAAACTATATCAAAACTAAAATACACAAATAAAATACTATGAAAAAAACCAAATACTGCAGCCCAATTAAAAGATGGGGAGGGCAGGAGCAGGATGGGAGGAGGTAGGATATATTGTTAAACTATCAACCGCTTCCACTGTGATACTCCCCCATTGGAGCCCAAGCTAATTGGCAGAAGCAAATCTTTAGACTCTTACAGAAGAATCGGGAGGGTTGGAGATGACCTCATTCCAGGGGGCAAGATGTTCCAAAGGGCAGGCGCAACAGCAAAGAACACCCTTCTCTTGGACCCTATTGGCTGGAATACCCAGGCTGATGATGCCCGCAGCATGCCTCCTCTGCTGTCATGGGTGGAGCGGGCCAATCCTATTGGGATGAGACGGTCCCTCATAGCCTGGACACATGCCATGAAGGCCTTTAAAGGTGGTTACCAACACCTTAAACTGCTCCCAGAAGCAGACTGGCAGCCAATGCAGCTCACAGAGCAGTGGTGTTACATGGGCCACTCTTGGGGCCCCATGCTGCAATTATTTGCTGTTATTTGGCAAATGCCCTCTTAAGTAGGCACCAAGATTATCTTTCATGATTATCCCCAGCCCCCATTTCCATGTCCACCCACTCTTGTGACTCTGAGCAAATTACCTAGACTCCTCCATAATTGTACACAGTGAGGCAGCAGGGCATGGCCAGATTTTCAAGTCTTAAGGCAGCTGCCTTGATGGTGTGTATGTTACTGATGGAGATAATGTGTTACTTATATATAGATTCTAAGCTTTGTGCAGATGACATTTCTTGCAGCCCAAAGCTCTTGGTAAAGACACTTCTCTGGCTACCCACTGGGTGGAATACATCACAGAAATAATTCAACCTGGATTAGAATCTATTTAACAGCTGTCCCATATCCGTATAAAAGAGTGGATCAAGTTTTCAGGGGTTCTCTGGTATTATTTTGATGAACTTTTGAATAAGGAGCAATAAGAACTTGCATCCATGGAAGGAAATGGATAGTCTCAGTTTTAAGAGAAAAAGAAAAGTTATTTTTTAAATATGCTTCTCATCCTAAAAAAAGAGAAATGCATTTATTTTATGACATGTCATTCATATGTCATACAGCTATTTTGCCTTACCTCTTTCTCTCAAGCTGTTACTTACTGCTCTTTCAAACTGTTCTTCCTCAGCGAGTCCACCAGTATACATATCGTAGTTGTTTGGTGGATAGGATGGATTACCTGAGTATCTAAAATTCTCTGTACAGAAAGAGATCACAGACATAAATGCCTAGCATAATCTTGTTTTAACAGGCAAACTGTTGTGATGATTAGGTATCACTGATTCCCAATCATCCGTAGCAATGTCATTACAAAATGGAAACAATTACATCATTGCATAATAATATCATTATAAATGTTATAAAATTACTACATTTACATTAATGTAAAGTAACATAAATGCAATAGGAATCATTTTCATCTGATGTCTTTTTCACTGAAATCTGTCAAGCTGATATTTCACTGTATAACACATCAATATTCTATTCAATTTTAGCATCTTTTGCCTCATAATTAATATGAAAGAAATTTGAAGCACAGAACTATATATTAGTAACAGGCAACATAAAATGCATGTAAAATATGTGCCTTGTAATAAATAATAGTGTCTTATGCTACGAAGATTTACTTCTATAATGTAAATATAGGCTTCTATGATTGATATAACTGGAAGTACATATGGAAGATAATTGATTGGGAATATTGTTAACCATCTTGTTTTGGATTAGAAAGCCATTGCCCTTAAAAAAAAACAACAACTAGTATGTGCCTATCCCCTCAAAAGTACAAAAACTACTGGCCTGACTGAGAATACTAAAAACAGCTTTTCTGAAAACAGACTCTTTGAATTGAGATTCTCTCTGAATTGAGAATTTAATGTCATACAGTATAAGAAGCATTTGTGGAGCTCAATAAACAAACCTGGATTGCTATCTGTTGAAAGGTTAAATTCAGCCCTTTCCCCTCCCCAGTCCTATTTCTTTACCAACAGTTCTTTTTTGAATTTCTTTTAAAATCTGTATGGATGCTCTGCTTGATCAAGTTAAGAGTCGTGTAAGAAATCTTTTTAAGTTTTCTGATATATAGAGGAAGAGCAACAAATGTCAATATGAACAAGTATTCAATCCTATGGAATACATTTCCTGAAATATTGAGATATTAAAGAATGATATGAACAGAATTGTGAATATTAAATAATATTAAAACTGTAATAGAGAAGAAATAAGATGTGAATTTAACAAATGACAGAATTAATCTATACCGACTGGCACAAGGTAAATGCTACTGTGTACAATTTTGTGTAGAATTTTCTCTGAGATAAAAACTAGAAGATTATAATTCAAATTACTCGCCTGTTCTGTAGTTGTTTCTTTGTTCTGAATAGCCACCTAGAAATAAAATCATGAGTATTTATAAACATGTAAAATATCATACTATTATTAAAGATATTTTCCTGTAACAGCATATGTGAATGGATATACAGGTAGTCCTCGGGTTATGAGTGTAATGGAGTCTGCCCATTCCACTTGTAACTTTAAAATTCGTGGGAATGAATCTCGTACCTCGAATGAAATCACACCCTTGCTCGTTAAGACACACATGGCTTGTTAAGTGAACATGAGGTAACTCAGGGTGGGAAAGGTCATGGAGGGCCACTAAGATACCTCATGCTTTCCCCTTCCTTTCTGCCACGCCGGAATCACTTACCGCAAAATCTGTCTCCCCTCTGCACGGTTTCTTTCCCTTTGAGGGAAAGGAGAGTCAGCTTGGAAATGCTTTTTGTGCCAACAATGGAAGCTCCTTGGTGCCGTAATATTGTGCAAATTCAAACACAAATTCTCTGCAAAAGAGATCATGGCTCCGGAAGCTTTCATTCTAGGGTAGAGTGGGGTGAAGATTTGGCATTGTGGATGCCCTAGGGTGGGGTGGGGGTTAGGATTTGGCATTGTGGTTTGTGGAGTGTTTGTGCTCCGGTGGAGCTATTCAAAACACAGGGATTCCCTGGGTTTTGAAGCACCTGTGTGACTGCATGGAAAGGAACGGTCCATTTCTGAAGCGCTCCATTGGCAATCACGCAGAACTTCCAATCTCTCTCAGCTCTCCTTCGGATAAAAAAGTGTTTGAGTGGCAGCGGCTTGAATTTCTCCGCTCTGTCCAAGTGGAAAGAAGAGGCGGCACAGAGCAGGATTGCTCTCAATAAGGCCAACGCGTGTGAGTGAGCAGTGTACCCGCGTCTTGAAAGCAATCCTGCTCTGCGCCTCCGCTTTCCTTCTTTCAGGCTGAGCAGAGAAACTAAAGTTGCTACTGCCACTTGAGTGACAAGGACAACAAGGAGAAGAGCAGTCAGGATTTGTGCCACAGTCCAGTCAGGCAAGGAGTAGGTTGGGTGGGGTGGATGGCTGGCTCGGGAGGGAAGATCATGGCTGCTCAGGTGCCTGTTTCCACTGCCGCTGCCAGCAGTGTGGATGCAGGTGCAAGGGGACTCCCCGCGATGCCTCCCGCTCAGTTGAAGGCTTCGTTCCTGCCCTCAAACTAAGGCCAGTGCATGCGAGCGCACCCAGGCCACAAACGGCATTGGTTCCTGCAGCCAGCCAACTCTGATTCCACACTTTGCCCCATAGGCATGCAAATGAAGCAAACACTCCCCCCCCCCAGATGGAAGCTTCTGGGGGCCATGATCTCTTTGGCAGAAAATTTGTGTTTGAACTTGCGCAACATTACGGCACCCAGGAGCTTTATTGTCAGCACAAAAAGCATTTCCATATCCTCTCCCTCAAAGTGAAAGAAACCGCGGCAGAGGGGAGATAGATTTTGCAAGATAAATGACTCCAGTACAGCAGGGAGGGAGGGAGAGGGAATAGGGGGAATGTTGTGGGGAGCGGGGGGGGGGAATAGGGGAATGTTGCAGAGCCTCTGCGGTCGCTCATAAGGGAGAATGGCTGCCGTGGTGCTGCAATATTCGTAATTTTGGGACTTGTTTGCAAACACAAGGGGGCACTGATCGCATAACTTCAAAGGAGCATTAAGTGAACGCTCGTAACTCGTGGATTACCTGTACAGCAATCAATAACTGTTGGGATATACATTTATTTTATTTAGTATCTGGCTTTTTAATTCTGGAATCGTACTGATTCCAGAATTAAAATAACACAATGAAGAGTTAGCACTGGTATAACCTTTGAAACGAACTATGGAAAACTTCTCATGGCTATTGAGAGTAATATTAATTCAAGCTTGCTCAGAAGAACAGAACAAATTCACAAGTTATTTGCATTTAAAAATGTGTAATTTCCTTCTGTACTGTTCAAAAGAACATCATATGCAAGAAAACATTCTTCAAAGGAGCTGATTGTGTAGATTACAGGTAGCCCTCAAATTATGATCTATTGTTTAACAACTGTTCAAAGTTACAACAGACCAAAAAACAGCTACTTATGACCCATTCCCAAAGCTAAAACTGGTACAAGTCACATGACTGCTATTTGTTACTTTTTTGCCGTTTTCCAAAGGAAAACGGCAAAAAATGTCAATTGGATATGCTGGATTTACTTGCCATGTAATTTGCTTAATGATCAGGATTACTCACTTTATGACCACCATAAATACAATAATAAAACTGAAACTGGTGCCTTGAATTACAATCACAGTTCTGGACTTCACTATAGTTGTAAGTCAAGAATTAGCTCTATGAAAAATCATTTATAGCAGTCATTACTATCATGGGCACAGCCAGTGGCACACCTTCATTAACAAATGACTTAAGAACAATCTAATTCTTTTTCTTTCTTTGTCCTATAAGTAAAGTAAAGAACTTATAATACATTATTTGATCATCAAATGTATTCATTTGTCTTTATTTACACCAATTTGTATGCCATCCACTCAACACATAGTAGATAGCTTTTAACATTAAGCATTAAAATAAAATTCAATATTACATCAAATTTAATTTAATCAGAAATGTAAAGAAATATCAAATCATATATACAGGGATGTAAGCACCATATGACATGATTCTGAAGTTATGAAGTACAACTTATAATCACTTTAAAGCTATATTGAACAGCAATGCTTGGGAAGTTCTAAGGTCATTATTACCTGCACATGCTGTCATGAACATCTTCAGAGGTCCCATGGTGTACATTAGGCCAACAAGAATTCCTGCCAGATGTCCTGCAAAAGAACTCCTAAAATGAAAGCAATCTTGTGTGAGATATTGTATTGTTCCCAATTAAAAACTTTCTGTAACCTCATTAACCTTCACTCCATTCAATGCATTTAAAATTTTAAGAGTTTAATATATTTAAAGGAGACATATGCACTTCACTATCTCAAAAATTTTGGAAAATAACAATGATCTGAAATAAATGCCCTATTCTTATGATCCAATACAATTCCTTTTGAATTAAATTGCACCAATATCCGAATTATTTATTTAGACAGATCATATATTCCTAGTGCTCAAATCATACAGTTTCCATATTCCCAATGATGGTAAGAGAAAAATGAGGCTTTGTTTGAAAAACACCACCTCCATACAGCTGTTTAGGAAGGAGCAGTTGCTTCTATTTAAATAAAACTTTCCACCTACAGACGCAGTTCCATGAATCTCATTAAACTGTAATGTTTGATTATCAATATGCTGCATGAAATGAGGCAGTGATCTATAAAACATGGTAAATTGGTAATGAAAGATGATTATTGTTTTAACTGCAATTAAGCAAACGATGGCCTATGTATTACATTAGCCAAACCTATCTATTATCTTGCAAAAACCCTCTGCACATATGCCAAGCCTGAAAAAAATATAACTTTGGCCAAATCCTTCTTATATCCCCTATTTCAGTGATGGCGAACATTTTAGAGACCGAATGCCCAAACTGTAACCCAAACCCACTTATGCATCATCGGGTGCTGGGTGGGTGTGGCCCATTGGGTGGGTGTGGCCCATTGGGGGGTGTAGCCCATTGGGGGTGTAGCCCATTGGGTGGGCGTGGCTGCGGTGGTAACAGCAGACTGGGTGGGACTAAAAAGTTCAAGCAATTAATTCCAACTTTGCAAGATCTTTTTTTTTCCACGAGAAGTTGAAATTGACTGATTGATTGAACCTCTTTTTTTGTACACGGCGGCGAAGGCCTAAAGCGAAAAGGTTTTATAAAACCCAGTTGAAGGCCTAGGACTGGGGCGACAGCGTGCGTGCCCACAGAGAGGGCTCTGAGTGCCGCCTCTGGCACCCGTGCCATAGGTTCGCCACCACTGCCCTATTTTCTTCTATAATAAACTTTTTTTTCTGTTAAAAAGCACAATCCAGCTTGGATGAGGACTACATTGATATGTAACTATTATTCATTTCGGTAATATCTAGATACATATATACAAAGTAATTTAAGTTCTGAATGACTGACAGCAAACTTACTGTGGGTTTAATAAATGGATTGCTAGAAGTTCCAACCAACAAGAGTATTTATTGGATACATTCAGGCCCATAATATTGGTTGATCCCCCTGGATGGTAATAGTTATTAAGAACTTTCAAAGCAAATAGCACTCCTATATAAAAATAAAGAAAATAATCACATCAAGAGAAATTCTCAAGTAATATAAAAACTAAAGAATATGGAGGATCTATTGCTCTTAGTATGCCTTGCATTCCATTTATTCAAAGAACATATAAATAGCTTCTATTACAGTATTTCAATACTTTACAGTGGCAAAAATATCTAAATGTTTGTACTTTTAAAATATTCCAGTACTTTTTCTCAAAACTAAAAACAAAATTCCCCGAAGAGTGATGTTACCAGTGATTTTGGGGAAAGAAAAGAGTACTCATTAATATAAATAGATTGCAATATTGTGCTAATGTACCTGGAACAAAGATCAGATGTTTAAACAAATGGCTGAGGAAACCTTATAAAATCTCTCATTTTATTGAAAAGTAATCCTATTTTAAAACTTGGGGTGAGAAAGACAGATTATTCTCATGACAATCAAGGATACAGAGCTGTTGGAACATCAAAAGCAGTCTCAGCGTTAGGGCAGAGAAGGGAGCTTCAGGGCTGCAAGCCTAATCTAGTCTGTCACACACACACACAGCAGCCTAGTGAAAGCATTTAAATAACAAGCTAGTTTTCTACAAGCAAATGGATGTTGCAAAGACAGAATTCTGATACCTCTCCAATAATATCATCAGGATAGTGACAAACAGGATCAAGTTCAGTTCTATTCCTAGGCCAAGGTATAGGAGTGTAGATGTCAATTTCTTATTAATTGTGATGTTACTTCACAAATAGAACACCTCTCGGCCATAAACTATACATTACCAGGTCCCTGAGTAGCTTGATAAAATAACACAGTGAACAGCGAAAGATTTGTAAATGTCAAATCATCAATTCTTGGCATATTAAGAGTTACTCCTAACAATTCAATTTCTGATTAAAATTAGGAATATTTTTTTTTAAAAAGCTCTTTTTGGATTTTACCATAAATCCTTGATTCAATATTGATCATTGAAAGAATATTAACACTACTTCTGAAAAGTAGCAATGGAAGTGTGCTCTTTGCTGACTACCACTGATATTTTAGCATCATTCTTCCAATGTATGCATTATAATCTTGAAATCAAGCTTAGCTCTTGATGACTTCATTGATATAGCCATGCAATTTCTTTGAAGCGAAAAGGGAAAATGGAAGGAAAAAGAAGTATTTCACTAATTTATTGCAGGATGGGTAGATTTTTTTTCTTTCACTTCTCAATCTAGCCTATAATCCTTGGATTCCGAGACCAGATCACTTTTGGTTTCCAAAATTAGAAAATATCAGCAAGGTGCTATCTGATTGAGATCAGCACATGTATACTGAAATGTACATTTCTATTTCAGATTTTTGTGTTTTATTATTATTCAACTCTTAGTGCAAGCAAACTCCCATTTAAAAGGCATACAATGGTCCTGATATGTCAGTTTAAACAAAAATCTAAAGTCTAATATGACAAAGGGATCATTTCTCCTTTAAAGACAAAACCCAATATACAACATATTTCCATTCCAAATGCCAACAATTCCAAAGAAACCCACCCCACATAACAACATATCCCATTCAAATAAACATTCCATATCTCAACTATAAAACATAAACAGATCCAAATATAAAGTAATCTCAGTATCCTAATATAAACAAAATACTAAAATCTAACATATTTTATCTTTTAAACAAGTTTACAAAACTTCATTACTTTAAGTAACACAGTTGGATACAGTTTAAATGCTATCAAATTAGAACACACAAAGTAATTGTAGGGGGAAAGGGTTAAACACCATATTAAATGTATGTAAATCCAATATGCCACTTTTTTAGTCCAGATTATCAGCATCCAAAAAGAACCACAAAAATAACATGTCACCTTGTAAACCTGGTAAAATAAACTGGTTTTGTAATCTTTTTTTAAAAAAAATATAGAACAATCTTTCTCTGTAATCAATTCAGATGGTTGTTGATCTTTGTTACAAATTTCTTCAATACTTTATAATACAGTCTATTTTATAAGTCTAGAAAAAAAGTGTTCCAATTGCGATCTGGGATTGTTATTTTTATATCCTTATTAAATTTTAAAGTCTCATCCATTTTTTTTAAGTATCTGATGACAAATTCTTATTCAAAGTCTCGTTGATATTCTCGGATAAATTTTGTTGCATATCTCTTTTTGTAATATCCTTTTCTGGGAGCAGACTATTCCCAAGACGCAACAAAGCTGACATAATTCATTCAAATGCCAGTTCAATTCCTCAAAGATATCTCTGAATGCCATTGTAAATTGCTTCTCTTGTAATGTCTCCAATATGAAAAAGGTGTTCTTTCCCACAAGAATATATTTATTCTTTAAGTTTAATTTTAAAATACTATTATTCAGAATCCAATATTCCAAAATTTTCTAAGCCCTTAATCTGTTTAAAACTTTCTGTAGCCAAAATCCTGTCTTGCTTTTTGCTATTTAAATATTTTAAAGATTAAAAAAATCTTTATTTGTTGTATTAAGGCTTGAAGACACTCCACATTGTTTATAGTCTTGACACTTTGAAGGAGTTGATGGGCAATTTCCAAAAATGGTTAGCAAGGAAAATGTCCATTAAAAAGGCTTCATATAAGGCTGGAGCAATTACAGCAAATTCCTATGTCCTGATTCACCCTCCGCTCCAGGGTCCTCTCTTTATTCAGAGAGAGTTGAAGCAGCTGATCTGCTGGTCAGCTCCCTATTTTATAGCTGTAAATGTTAGTTCCACTCTTCATGGAGCCATCTTCAGTCTGCCATATTCCCTGGCAGATATTTATCTTTTAGTTTCCTTTGTGAGAGACTTCTAGAAAAATGTAGCAGTGACAAAGTTGTGTTTATTGTTATCATTCAAGAACATGTTAATTTCACATTCCCTAAATATATATTATCTATTTCCTAACAGCTAGCATTTGCAATAAATGTTATTAAAAAAAGGAGAGAGGGAAGCATAATAAAGAAGAGCGCCTTACCAGAAAAGCCAACAGCACAATGATGTTCATATGAAGGATTGCCAAGAAGTTCCGCCAGTACAGCTTCCAGAAATATGTACACAGCTCCCACAAGTAGTGAAAACAGTGCAATTATATAGCCAAACCACATAGTTCCAAGCCTGCTCTCCAATTTAATTCCTTTCCAAAGCAAGGAGACCATATTAAAATACAGATGCCAGTCATCTGCATGGTGAAATGCTGAAAGATACAAACGATGCCAATCTTTTTTGTAAAGACAATCATTGACACTAATGCATGCTTTGTCCAGAGGTTTCAGGGGTTGTATAAAAAAGAAAATGTTCACTGCCAAAGTTCCAAGTGTGACAGGTGGAATGTTGTGAAACCCAACTTGATAGAGCTGAGAAAGGAGGAAAAGCACTCCAGTATTTAATCCTTTGTGCCTTCGTTGCATAGTTTCTTTTTTGAACTCAGTTTATACTAAAACTTGAGTACAGCAGAAATCCAGGCAGATTCTGAAAAATAAGAGACATGTTTGCAATTACCATATTAATAAGAAATCAGCATTCCGTATTGCTTATAATTTTTTTCTTTACACAAGGAAAAATGGAACATATGTTATACAGATATAAGGAGAGTGAACAGGTGAGAAGATAGAAGTAGAAATAATTTCACTGAAAATTTACTTCCTATATGCTGCTCTACTACTTTTAAAGGGACCGGGGTGGGGGGAGATACCATTTAAGTAATATTTTCTTCCAGAAAAAGTGTTGCTCAGTTTCTAATATTTTTTTTGTAATATTTTATTGATTTTCTAATTTTACATTTAAGTATTTAAAAAGCAACGTGGCGGCTGGGTTAATCAATTATTCAATAACATACAAAAATATTTAGTACAAATTTCAAACTACCACATCAAATATTTCCTCTCCTTTCCCCTTAATATCTACTGTCTCATATTTAAACTAATACAATTCTTATTGTATCCATTAAGTAAAGATAGGTTACATTTATCAATAATTTTTTAGCTTATACATATCCTAGTTACTTTAACATTCAACTTTATAAACAGTCAATGTCCTGTAGTTAGTTTTTCCCAATTATTAGTTTCCCGTCAATATTTAAATTTAACATTTGATATTTATAATTTCCAATTTTTTGGTAACCAAAGTTTCCTTTATCACAATTCTTAACAAAGTCTAACATTCAAAATATACATCCTATCTATTTGAGTATATTCTATTTTCCACCATCTTACATCATCTAATTAATAATACAATATAACATTTCTTATTTTCAAGTAGTTTCCGAATGTCTTAAATTTAATTACCAAATTTTCCACTATTTCAACATCAAATATTTCATCTTTTTCTCTTGGTATCTACTATCTGATATTTAAACTAATACAGTTATTATCTCAATTAAATGAAAACATATTTATTACATTTATCAATAAATGTTAGCTTATTACGTATCTTAATTACTTTTACATTCAATCTTTATAAACAATCAATATCCTGTTTGTTTTCCACAATTTTTATTTTCCCATCAATATTCAAATTCAACTTTTAGTGTTTATACTTCCAAATTTTAAATGACCAAAGTTTTCTTTATCTCAATTCATAACAAAATCTGGTATTCAAAGTACACATCTTGTCTATTTAAGTATATTCTATTTTAATTAGTAGTATAAAATCCTCGCTGATAAATCAAAACCCCAATTTTCTTCAGCCTTATTCTAGCTTTCTTCCTTTGCCATCTCGCCCTCCATGTCAGTGCTTTTAGGTCATCAAATAGATCTCCCTCTGTTATTATATATATATTATTTGAAATAAAAGAGACCATCCAGTCACCATTTTTTGGGAAGGGCTAATAAATCGTCTATTATTCTAGATCCCCATAATTGTCCTGGTTTGTTTATCTTCCCTTCGGTCTGTTCTTCTTCTTGCTCCTCAGGTTTCTTCTGGTTTATATAGAAAGTCTTTTCCATTTTCAATGTTGTCAGTCCCTTTTCTGGACTTTCCATTGACAGTATTTGTTGGTTAGTTGAATCCTGTCATAGTATTTAATTGTTCCACTTCTTCTGTTATGTTTTGTGTAGTTGATTCTTTAGTTGTAGTCAAAATTTGAGTTCATATATCTAGGCTGACATCTTGTTCTTTTCTGTAGCATCTTATTTCATCACAAGCTGAAAGAATGGTTTCATGTATTGCTTTTAATATAAGGAAAATCTGTTCCTGGTCTTCATCCATATTCTCTTAGTAATGTGTTAAATTAACAGCTTTAAAATCAGAGAATGAAAATAATTTTATAACTGAGTATAGAACACAGCTGAGCTTCTCACAGCTGATAATTGTCAAGGTTGAAAAAGTCTTATCTAGTCTGGGCTTCCAACCAAGTCTCCTTTAGACAATAACAGGTTGTAATATTAAACTTAGCCACAAGATGTCACCAATGGCATTTAAGGTTTTTTAAGTCCAAAATTTTTATAATCCTTTTTCCAATTTTATTTCTTTTTTGTAAATAAAAACCAAGGTCTTCGATAAGGATAAGAAATCTTTTGGTCCCCAAATTCTAGAAGCATATAAATCCAGTTAGTTTAAGGTTATTCTTTCAGCGTTTTAACTCCCCGGATTAGTTAGTCGCCGCTATTCTTAGAGAGTGGGATAAAAGTTCCCTTCTCTCTCCTGTCCCAGAGGGGAAGATACTTTGGGCAGCTTTTGCAGGATAAAAAAAAATACTTGGGATTAAAGAGAGATTCAGATCTCACCCAGTCTCATCCACGCTGCTTTGGAGTGCCTGGTGGTAAGTTTGACTTCGTCTGTCTGCAGCCTAGTAACGAGCCATATTTCTATGGCCGGTCTTTTGTCCGCCGGTTTGGAGGGCTGCGCTGGATCGAGTGGGTTACTGCCCTCCCGTGATCAAGCGGGGATCTTCTCCTTGCTGGTTGCCCCCACAGGGTGACTTTTGACCCTTCCCAGGGTCCCCCAGCAGTGCGAAATCGAACACAGAAGATGGAGCTCGCCTTCCAGCGTCTGCGGCAGCAGCGATGGCAAATGGAAAGTCTAATATTTATACATTTTCTAAAACTTATGGCCAATTTATCTATGGATTAAATCTGCATGCAGATAATTTTGATTGTTCTTCCATCAGGTCCTGATATCACTGCTTTGTTGCTTAAAATACATGGTGGAGGGAGGAATTGTTTGAAACAGGATGGTAAGGGCTATTATCATTTTTCCATTCAAAATTCAGCACTAGACCATCTTTACAATTCTATGCATACAGAATTAAAACTAAATCTAAATTTTCAATGGGATTTGGTCCAAAATAAGTATGTGTAATATCTGTCCAAGGAAAGACTGAAAATGTAGACAGATTGGGAAGAATGAAGTAGTTGGAAAAAATAAATTATGGTAAAGAATTTGAGAGGAAAGTAGGGTTTTTTCATCCAAGTTTTTACTCCACATTTCTACAAAAGGTTATTTTACCTGCTTTTAACAAAATGTAAAGTGGAGAAAATTATTCTGAATATTTTCATAAATAGATTGTCAATATTTTCAACTGTTTAAAACTTTCCTCCAATCTCTTTGCTTATTAAAGTATTAATGAAATTGTAGACAATACAGAATGTTTCCTCCAATGATTTCTAAAACATACCACAGCTTTCAAAATGTACGTGCTCGTAGATTAATTTTGAAATGGATATTTGCCTTTCAGTTTAAGACAATTACATGCTTACATTTTCTCACCTATAAAGATAAATGTCTGTGACTACAGATTCTAAGAATGTTTGTCCTGAAAATATTGAATGTTTACAACAAATAACAGTGTACTGTTTCTTTAATTTGCAATGTTATGCAGCTTTTAATTTCTTAAATCACATATATCATCATTGTTGGGGGGGGGGGGAGAGGTGTCCATGATTAAGTCATGCAACTGATATAGAATAAGGCTGTACTTAGCCAGGGTCATAATCCACCTATTATACCATCATTTCTTGTGAGATGGGCAGCTATATAAATTTGATTAATAAATTGAATTATGTCCACATACATGTTATTTGTCTTCAGCCTAAAAAGTGCCTCCATGAAACATTAAAAGAATTCAAAATAGCTTAATATAGTAATACACATAATAAAATTGCACAACAAAAATAAACACCAAGTGTAAGATTTAATTAAAAGGCTTTATCTTCTAAAGGTTCACGGGAGTTAGTCAGGTGCACTTCTTTGGGAACTTCGAAGTAAGAATACAATGCAGAGAGAACTTGAAGTACTAGCAAACTCATCCCTTTTTCTACAAACAAGTTAAATTAGACATTTATCCCACCTGTGTTATTTTTTTAAGTAACTCAAAGTGGCAAACATGTGTTAGTTCTTCCTCCTCCTATTTTCCTCACAACAACACCCCTGTAAAGTGAGTTGGACTGAGAGAGAGTGACTGGCTCAAAGTCATCCAACTGGCTAATATGCCTAAGGCAGGACTAGAACTTGGTCTCCTGATTTCAAGGCCAGCACCTTATTACCTCTTAACTATCTTATTCAATGATCATAAGGTGACATATTTCCAACAAATTCTTGAGCTAATCAAGAATATACATGAATATTAACTCAGAGAAAAAAATAATTATGAATCCAATTTTATTCAAGTTGAGAAATATTTTACCTAATCAATTAGATATTAGTGACAACACTTAGGCTGCAGTTAATACCAAGTTCTGCAAAAATTAAGAGTAAGTTTAATTATTCAATAGCAAAATTTTATACACATAAAATTTCTATTAAGTTTAGTGCATCACTAAGTAAACGGGGAAAAGGATTAATCAAGCACAGCAATCCTAAATGGAAATCTGAGTGCTTCAACTATACACAAGAAATACAGAAGTAGGAAAGGATAACATACTTTCCCTTAAAAAAAAAGTCCTCGTACTGTATGTAATTAATTTTGGGGGATTTAGGATCCTCTCCCTCCATCTAATGTGACATATTCTTTCTCTTATCAAGGCAGGTGGGGCTTTCTTGGGTTTCTGTTGTAGCAAGAGAGGGAAGAATCTAACGTCAGACTCTTTCGTCTGAAGCCAGAGGCATGTCTCCAACCTTGGAACAAACTGAGCAAATTTATAGCCTAGCAAACTATCCCACAAGTCCTTTCTTGCTCAAAACAGGTTACTCTGACCTCAGCAGAAGCAATCTGATGTTATTCCAAGCTGAAAAACAAGGTCTATGCAATGTTTAAACCTTCAATGCTTTAGATCCAATGTGAACACATTTTGTTTTGAAAGATACAGCGATGAGATTCAAACAGTTTGTAGGCTTATTTAGTGTGCACAGAAGCATATTATTAAATATTAAAATTCTATACAAGCAGCAATGTAATTTGATTTAAAGCATAAAACATGTATATTAAGTCTAAAAATTATACTCATGTACTGAAGCTATGTAATCATCACTACAGAAACTCTTCCCCCATACATTTTCCCCATACACTCAATCACAAGTATCCAAACTAACATTCCACCTGCCTGTTATAACTGAGCCACGCCCAGTCGTTTTGATGGATGTGCCGATGTCCAGAGGCAGTCTAATCCCACTCAGGCTCTTAGCTTAGAAAAGCAAATGCTAATGACAAAGTGAGGTATGTGCAGCAGGAAAGGTGATAGCAAACAGCATACAGACAAGGAAGTTGGGGTATTGCCTGGAGATTGGCAGCATACAAAGAATCAGAGGCAAGAGAACTACTGTATTATTCCACTGACAGGACCATAACCTATGGTGAGCAGCATATTCTGGTGGGAATCCTGCCTTGAGTTTGGAGCTTTGCCTGGAGCTCATCAGCAACTAGAAAATGAGCAATCACACTGAAATAGCATCCTATCCCAATTAATTCAAGAACTTTTGGAAAAAGGCAAAGATTGCACGCTACTTGGTAGGCTGAGACTTTTGCTTCATCTGAGTATTAAAAGACTGAATATTAAAGACATAACTACTAGAAGGGTGGAGTTGACCCAGAACAACAGACTGTTGTTGGGAAGGAGTGTGTTGCAATAAAGCATTGTGTACAGTTTTGCTATGCTGCAGTGTGCCCAGTCCTTGGAAAGCAAAGAACCTTACAAGTCCTTGCTTACTATTTGTTTAGCAACCATTAGAAGTTATGAAAGCAGAGAAAATGACTCACGACAGGTCTTCACACTTACAATTATTGCAGCATACCCAGTGTCACTTAAACACAATACAGGAGCTTGGCAACTGGCTTGCATTTATGATAGTTGCGGCATCCTGCAGTCCTGTGTCATTTGTGACCTTCCCAGCAAACTTCCAACCACCAAAGTTGTGGTCACATGACGTCTAGCTTAAGAACTGCAGGTGATTCATTTAACGCAAAGAGTTCATAAAATTGGCTGCAGTCATGTGATACTTAACAACTGAACCACTTAATGACAAATTTTCAGGTCCTATCATGGTCTTAAATCAAGGACTATTAAGTACAACGTTCAATCTTAGGTGGCTTACAACTTCAGGATCATTCATAATCCTAAAAACATTTTCATAAATTGTTTCAGAAAAGCATACTTCATTGACATAAATAAGAAGTAAAAAAGCAATGAAGTTATAAAGTTGGAAGAAGTGATTTAGGCTATCACAGCTTTCTATTCCATGCAAGAAATCAAATTAAAACTGTTGCAATGGAGCCAGTCATCTCTTTAGAGACTGATCCTACTCTCAAACTGTTAGTAAATCTCTTCTAATCTAGCTTCCTCTAATTTAAATTCATTATCCATGTCTGAAAAGAACATGTCTTGGATTTTTGAATGAATTTGATTACTACAAATGAAATACTAATTTCTGAGGCAGGGCTGTGGAAAATTAAGAATATTTCATTACCGATATAACTATAATAAACGCAAAAGGCATTACATCTCAAATTTGTCATGGTCCTATTTCTCCCCTCAAAATCTCTCAAGCCCCTTACAATGGAAAAAATACATACATTTTTCCAGAGGCTACAAAGGATATTTTAAAAGGCCCGCAAGTTTTTCACCCTTGATTTAAAGCCCCATAATATGATTTGTGATATGAGTTACAGATTTCACCATAGCATTCCCCCACTTTTTCACTATTTTTGGTTAATCATAGGTTAGCACTATATAACAGAAAACTGTTTATTCTTAATTTTTATTCCTTGAACCATATCAATTTTGTAACCCTTGTTTTGCAATTGACATGTCTTTAATAAGCCAGTTAAAATTATTCTAATTTTATTGTATTTGGATAAAATAGGAATTATCAAAATAAATTATCAAAAAATAAAACAAAGCATCTAGATTATTTACAACCCTAAAATGTTATTTATTTTATAAGTAAATCTTATTTACTTATTGTATATTAATTCAGCATAAATTTCTTCTGTTCATAATGGTGACATATTCAAAAGTGTTTTGCTGATTCAAGGAACTTAATTGGAAATAAGAGAATATGACCAAAAAAACCTCCACCATTTAAAAATATGTTACAATTGTATTAGGGTAATAAAACATGCAAATACGTAACTTTAGTACAATAATTTAGATTAGAAATATCAAATTCTAGTTAACAAGTTCCATAAGGGAATTCTGGGAAATAAATAGCTCGAAGATGAAAGAACATTGAAGTGTGTACTGCCCAGATTTACTATCATCACTTTGGAAATATACTGAGTAAAATCCTTTGCAAAAATACTACTGAACAAGGTATGCTAGGGACCATTAAGGGATTCTTTTATGATTTATGGAAGAAAATAAATCAATCATTTGCAGTATCACAAATTCCATTAAAGATGAAAAAAGGGCCAAACCCAAATATAAGATGTAGTAAGATCTCTCTTTCTTTTGTTTCAATTGAAAGGTATTGTGTTGGGGTGAAAAATTATGTAATTAAGTAGCAACAGAAGTATTTAATTTCTATCCCCATTTAATTTCCTATTTTCACGCTTCAAATTATTAAAAAATACCTTTTCTTCAATATTTCCTATTGAATTTAACAATCTAATGCTAAACATAACAAAAGATGAAAATTTAAAATAAGTCTAAGCAACTATACTATGGCTATGAAATAAAACAAAGGTTAGTAGTACTGAATCTGCTATTTCAACAAACTTCAGAATCCAAAGCAGTACTAAACAGACTTTTCTTATTTAACCAAATTTTGCGGAAATTTGGAAGATAAAAGAAGTAGAACTCTTTAATATTTTAATGACTATTAAATCATTTAATACAAAAACTAATTGTTTCAAGTGTTTATGAGCCATCACTCTCCCGTGGTCAGAAAGTTGTAAATATTAATATACAAAAAACAAAGAAGTTCTCCCGAGCTTGAGGCCCTTCAAATGCATTAGATACTAACTCACCTGGAGGGCACAAAGAAAGAGGGAAGCGGGAAGATCAGTAGGAGAACACAGTGACCTGCAATAATTGAATTATAAGAAAACTATGCAATAATCTTAGATTTCATGGTTTGGGGGCGATTGAATGACGAGACCCTCAACAAGAATCGTGAATCGAAGATTAGAACACTGGCTCCTCCCCATTCCGTTTTACAGCCTTAGGAGCCGATTTACTCAAACGTTACAAAGCAGAGGTGGTCCGTCCTGCCCAAACTCCTTTCCTTGGAGTGTCACTTTCCCATTTGGAGAAGGAGGAAGAAGGGGATGAGGAAGATCCCATTTCTCGCCCCAGAAAGCGTCTCCGCTCCTTCTACCGGAAATAGAAAACGATCCTCCTCTAGACACTCCCAGCGAGACCCGCCACCGACCCGACTTACGTGCAACCCTGACGTTGCGTGCAGTTACGGCGAGGCGAGTTTATGCGCCGGAGACACCCATGTGATCCACTGACGGCTCAATCAGAAGCAACAGCGATCCGTCTGTGATGAATCAACCTCCGGAACGACGCATGCGCCACGTCAAAATGTGCTCTTCCCCCCCCCCCATGTAGCGGGGTGTGACATAGTTTATCCGCTTTCTTTCCTGTAAAAAATTAAAATGGATTCAGAGCTTACTTCCAGAATTTGTTTACTTGTACCTTGACTTTAATTCAAACTGACTTTATTTTAAGCACTCTTATGTTTTTTTTTTTATTTGAGCCGTAATTACTGGGGTAACTTTCCCATGCTCTGCAACGTTGAACTGGCGCCCCAGAGCTGTCTCCTGCGCAAGGCGAGAGGATGGAGACTTGCAGCCGCGGATCGGCAGCTTAGGGTGGCTACATCCTCACTTCAGTGCAGGGGTTCTCAACCTTGGCAACTTTAAGACTTGTGGACTTCAACTCCCAGAATTCCTCAGCCAGCTTTGCTGGCTGAGGAATTCTGGGAGTTGAAGTCCACAAGTCTTAAAGTTGCCAAGGTTGAGAACCCCTGCTTCAGTGGATGTAGAGGATCAGTCTCATGGTGGGGGCAAGGGAGAAAGCTTGAAGCGTTGCCTCTGCCTGTTCTTCCGGCCAGCGTTATACAATGTGTTGGGGTTGGGAGTATCTGCCCCTTATTTACTCCGCGATGCGGCGGTGGGGATTGAGAGAGAGTAGTGCCTATCTGGAGACTTGCAACAGCGTGTTGGGTAAGAGATTATTGCGATGGGCTCTGGCAGTCACTCATTTGTGCTGTCCCATCCTGGAAATCTTTGCAAGAAGACTTGGTTTCCCAGGGCCATCCAAAGAACCGAGCAAGCAACAGGAGTTGGAGGCGGCTGTCCGCTGATCTGCCCTCTCATAGGGGAAAATATGGGTTTGAATGCGCAGCTAAGAGAAAGGAGTAGTGCTTCTGATATTAGAAGTTTAGGTGGTAAAGTTCTCCAATTCTATTTTAACTCCGTATCAAGCTAATGTATTTACGAAATAATTGCTAAAAGAATAGGAAATTGATGCAGAAGAAAGCTTAGCAGAGCCCGTCCCTTGTAGAGATAGGGAAAACCTATCGATTTAATGGTGAAATGCCTCTTTTTGTATTTGTGATTGACAAGGATTTTGCATTTACTTTCCAGCAGAAGGTTTAGATCAACACAAAATGTTGAGGCAGGAGTATTTTCCTTTCATAAAAGAATATATAGTTCCACATTAGCACATTTATACTCCTAATTGTGAAGTCTTCACTCCTGCTGACTTAAAAATGCTGTGAGGAGTAAAGAACTTAATGACTACCTCAATTGGCTGCAGCTGTCATGGTTCCGACAAATTAATCTCTTCAAAAGAACTTCAAAGCATTATTTTCCTTAAAGAATCTTTAATTCGAGTACTAATATCGGCACTACTAGTATCGGCACTACATAGTTGAAGCCAAAAACTGAATTCCCCTCCCCTGTATCAACCAACTCTAAAAGTGATAGAGAAAAAATGGCTACATTTCCATCTGTTGTCAAAGCAAGAACATCCGATGTTAGCAGCGTTGACATCCAGTACTGCAATTTTCCCTTTAAAAATTCTTGAATCCTGAATATGCTTTACTTCATAGTGACTCTGTCCTGCCACTACAAGGGGTCCAGGTGCCTTCTTAGGGGGAGGTCTTAAGGTGGAACCCCGAAAAGGTTTCAACAGGCTACAATGGAAAATGGTGAACTTTTTCTAAGAGCCTAGGAAGTTTTAATTCCACCATGACTGGGTTAATGATCTTTACAATGAGGAAGGGTCCTAAGTACTTCGGTCCTAACTTCTTACTAGGTAACTTAAGCCGTAAATATTTAGTTGACAGATAAACCTTTTCCCCAACTTGGAATGTTCTTTGAGGAGCCCTTTTTTTATCTGCCTGTTTTTTGTATGTCTCAGAAGCCTTTTTCAAAGCAGTTTTTGTGGTTTTCCAGACTTCCTCCCACCCTTTCACCAATTGATCAAGAGTCTGGGAAGCAGACTCCGGACATAGTTTTCCATGTCCCGTTTCAATCCCGGCCACCAGAATTGACGGTGGATGAGGTTTTTAAATATCCAAAGTACCCAGCCTGTTTTATTTCATGGCCGTGTCAAAGCGCGTTAAGGCGGAGGTCTCTGGCAAATATAGCTTTCCCCCTTTGTAAGCCAAACCATCCCTGCATGTTAGGGAGGTTTGATTGTCCTTAAACCATTGGTCAGTGAGGAGCTCTTGTTTTATTTTCTTTGCCCCAGGGTCACTGGGGTTAGGGGCTCTTGAAGGTGGGACTCTGTGCGGTGTGAGTTGAGAAGCAGTTTGTGGATTGCAGATAATTGCCTCATTAACCTCTTCACTCTGACTTTTGTACTGGGGCAGTCTGGATAGAGCATCAGCTAAGAGATTTTTTCCTCCTGGTATGTACTTTAGGGTGAAATTAAAACGGTTAAAGTACTGCGCCCATCGTACTTGTTTTGGGAACAATTTGCGGGGAGTTTTTAGTGCTTCTAGGTTTTTGTGATCAGTCCATACCTTGAAAGGCACCTTGCTCCCTTCTAGATAGTGTCACCAGTTTAATAGAGCCCAACGGATTGCAAAGGCTTCCTTTTCCCACACAGCCCACCTCCTCTCACATTCAGTGAATTTTTTCGAGGTGTAGGTGCAGGGTTTTAGGGTCCCGTTCTGGTTCTTTTGCAGTAGTACAGCTCCGACGGCCACGTCACTGGCATCGACTTGAATCACAAAGGGCTTCCCTGGGCAAGGATGCTTTAAGACCGGTTTGACCGCAAATAGTATTTTTAAATTCTCAAAAGCAGTTTGACAGTTCATAGTCCATGCTAGTGGTTGGCCTGGACACAGCTTTCCTCCCTCTTTGCCTGTTTTTAGTAATTCTGTAAGGGGTAGGGCAATTTCAGCAAAGGAGGGGATGAATTGACAGTAGAAGTTGGCGAATCCCAGAAAGCTCTGGAGCTGTTTGCGAGTCTTTGGGGGCTGCCATTCAATTACGGCTTTCACTTTGGTTGGGTCCATTTCAATGCCCTCGCTGGAAATTCTGTAGCCAAGATAATCTAGTCGGATCTGATGAAACTCACACTTTCATAGTTTAACATAAAGTTTGGCATTCAACAGTTTCTTTAGCACTTCTCTCAATAGTTTTACATGGTCAGCCATATTCGTGCTATATATCAAGATGTCATCAAGATGCTAAATAGAAATGTTTCAAATCATCTATTTAACTACTTATTATAGTTGTGAACCTCTTGCTGCTGCAAATGGGCTATCTACTTGAATTGTCTACTAAAATCAGAAACCTGAAGCATTGGGGCAAAGTTGATTAGATGTATAGTTATGTTTGAGAAATCACTGAGGTTGGGTTGAGTTCTCTAGGGATTTGGAGAAGGATAAATGTTCCTATTATTAAAAAAGAAGAAAAAAGAGATACAAATCAAATACAAAAGAGACCAGTAAGCTTAATTTAATATTGATACTGTGCTAAACTTGGAACAGATTAATAATCTGTTAAGTGATTGGTTTGTGAGCAATTAGAAAAGAATTCATTGCAAGTTCATTGGCAAGACCCAGTATGAATTTATCAAGAATAAATTAGAAACCCTAACCCTAACATTTTTTCACTTAAGAGTGTCACTCACTGTAATGTAGTTTACATAGCGTGCCCTTGAAGACTACACAGCTGGTTTGGGATACAGTAGCTTGCTACATTATGTGACACCATCACTCTGGCAGCTGCAGTGGTTATCATTAGTTGGCTTCTGAATGCAATCAGTTATTACTTATAAAGACCTTTATGCTGTAGAGCTTAATTGTTTGAAGAACTATCTGTCTCCAATAGCTTCTGCTCATCATGTGAAATTGGGAATAGTGGGCACATTCCTAGTTCCTTCAATTAAAAAATATCATTTTGTGGAATCTAGAAAGAGTGTCTTTTGTTGTGCCTGCCATCTGGAACAACATTTTCCCCAGAGATTTATATGGCTCCCACACTGATGATGTTCAGAAGGTCACTGAAAATAGGGTTATTCTCACAGGCTTTGGAGCAGGGTGGGTGTGTCATTTTTGGTTATGGATTGTTTGTCTGGATATCTGTGGCTTTTGCTTTTTTTATTCTTGTTTTTAAAATTATAAGCTGCTCAGAGTCTTGTGGAAGTGGATAGCCTCTAATTGTAAAATTAAATTTATCATGTATTTGGGTAGGAAAAATTAAATAGATGAATATAGACTTGGGCAGCAATATGTACATTAAAAAAATCTGGATACTGTGATTAATTACAAATTGAACATAAGTGATGGGGCTGAAAAAAAAGTGAGTACAATCAATCTGCATCAAAAGAAATTAAGTGACCAGATAAATCATTGTCTTTTTCTATTTTGTATTTGTCAGACAGCATAAAGTTTGGGACACCATATTTTAGGAAGGACATGGACAAAATGGAATGTGCCTGAGGAAATCTACAAAGATGATATAAAGCCTGTAAGAAGCTTAAAACAGAGAAGAGAAACAGTGGGAGTTGTTGGTCAAGTTTAGCCTGGAAAAGACAGATCAATGAGGGAAGATGTCAATTGCTTCCATGAGCCTGAAAGGCTGTTATATAGAAGGAGCAGAACTGTTCTGTTTCTTCAGAAGACTGGGCAAAAAACCAATGAGTTTAAATTAAAAGAAAATAAATTTGGGCTAGGCTTCAGAAAATCTATTGAATCATAATCAAAAGTTATTCAAAAGAAGGTTGAATGGGTACTGTCATAAATGGAGACAGAAATTTTCTACTATTAGGTGATAAATTACATCCCTACTAGTGTTCATTCTAAGATTCCAAATAAGGGATTCTAATTCTGGCAATTAGAATAATAAGCATGATAGTTTGATTGCTGTACAA